GATACATAGCAACCTATACCTTAAGGAAACAGAAACCCGGAAGAAAATGTGCATACAACAGAAATAAAACGAAATAATAATAATAATAATAATAATAATAATAATAATAATAATAATAATAATAATAACTGGTATGAACACCACCCAGACCCGGTTACGGAGATAGGACCTGTTACAATTCTATGGGATTACACAATACACACTGACAGAACAATCAAAGCCAACCGGCCAGATATTGTTATTAAAGACCACAAACAAAAACGGTGCCTCCTTATTGATATGGCAGTCCCTGCAATGTATCTTTAAAGATAGTCAAAAAGTTGTCAAAATACAAGGACCTTGAAATAGAAATCTCGAAAATGTGGCATATGGGAACATCAACAATCCCTGTTGTAGTTGGAGCCCTAGGACTGGTTGGAAAAGATTCCAGTAGACTAATTGAAGGGATTCCTGGAAGTCCATGCCTCAAGGAGATACAAAAAATTGTTCTGACAAGTACAGCCCACACCTTACGAAGGGCTTTATTGATGTAATTTTTTTTTTTTTTTTTTTTTTTGTCAGTGGAAAGTGTCATGACGCCATTTCTAACCTTAGGTCCCTGGGCGGGACCCGGAAAGAAATGTGTAAACGCCAGAAATCAAAGAAAATAAAAATAATAATGATAATAATAATAATAAAATTTGGCAAATTCCTGCCAACTAATTGATATGATTAGCCAACAGGATTCCAATGTTTTAAAAAAGGATTTAAAAAACTGTCACTCTATAACGACTTGCAAATCGAAGTAACAAAAATGTGGAAACTTGAAACTACGATTATACATGTTGTGACGGGGACATTGCCTGTTAAAGAGGGGTACTGAAAATCATGTGACTAAAATTTTTTGACATATCAGCATCTCTGTGATACAACAATTAGTTTGTGCAGAACTGCACATGACATCCGCGATTCCCCCCCTTCATCTAAACGAAACGTCCCAAATGTGCATAGATAACTCTCCTACATTAGCCTTTTTAACTTATAGACCCAGGAGGTCTATAATATATAGTAATAAGGCATTTAAACTTATTTTCTGGCAAGATGATACCGCACAATAATAATAATAATAATAATAATAATAATAATAATAATAATGTGCCGTGCATGTGTTTATCAGACTGTGTGCCATGATGGTATACTGGTCTTCCTAACAGCGACAATCTTTTGGCATGCTGCTCTCAAATTTGATAATAATAATAATAATAATAATAATAATAATAATAATAATAATATGCCTTAATTTGGTATGAATCTACCAAGATCTGATTCCTGAGGAGTATCGACATACTCATTACCTCAGTCTGTCGACAGGACCTACGAGTCATACAGTCCACCCCTAATCATGTACGTGAATCTATCTTTTATTCAACACCTCTCTCTGCATTTTGTATTCACACACACACACACACACACACACACACACACATATATATATATATATATATATATATATATATATATATATATATATATATATATATGTATGTATGTATGTATGTATGTATTCGCGGGTGTGAACCAGATTTATGCAAAACTCGTTGGGAAGAAATTTAAGCGCATTCTCGGCAAACATAATTGAATGGAGGGAAACAAGAAAAAAAAGACTAGGCGACAACAAAATCGATTGATTGATAAGACGTTTAATATATATATATATATATATATATATATATATATATATATATATATATATATATATATATATATGGATGGATGGATAGATAGACAACAGACTGAGATAGAACTTGATTGACGTATCTTTCGACAAAATCCAATAATGTCCTTGTCAAGGCCGCTAAAGACAAATATAATCAGAAACTTCTTTCCATACTTGTCGCCATTTTCTTTTCCAATTTTCTTGACATTATATATTTTAGCGTTTCATTTTCACAGTCGCCACTTATCATTTCAGTTGGATTATTTTTTCCTTGTTTTTTTTTTTCAGGATTCTTATTCCCACTACGTTTCTTTCTTTATTGTGATTTAGAATTTATTAAATGAGTTTTTTTTTTCTAATATTCACGGCAAGGTTTAATGAGTTATGCTAAAAGTTTCCCCTCGCTAATATAAAGCGTGACACAGCAAATAATAAAACACATATAGGAAATCATGGAAAATTATTTTACAAGATGGAGTTATTGAAAATTATTTTACTACAGGAAATTATTGTAAATTAGTTTATGAGAGGAAACTTGTGAATTATTTTACTATAGTACTGAGCTGAAAATTATTACTGTATTACTTCACTATAGGGAATCTTTGAAAATTACCGTATTTGACGGCATATAAGGCGTAATTTTTTTACTAAAAAATATCTTTTAAAATTCCCCTGCATCTTATATGCTATATGTAGGTTTACTAATTTTACTAATTACTAATTTTTTCCTTCATTTACCTTGTTGAAATTGGTGCCTTATACACCTGTACGTCTTATATGCTGTCAAATACGGTATTTTAGTATAGTAAACTTGTTAATTATTTTGCTATGTTTTTATTTATTACTGTTACTTCATGTGGTTTTTTTTATTTATTACTAGTACTTCAAGGGGTTGGAATGTTCGAAGGTCGGAGTGTACAACGACCGAAACGTTGTGATTAATATCGCAAGAAAGATGAGGGCGATAGTATAGTATAAATAATTTCCTATATGGTATCTAGACTAGGAATTTGAGCGTCATGCTAGATTGGCAGCAAGGTCTCATCGATTTTCAATTGAAATGGCGAAATGTAACTGTAAATTCTATGCTAAAAGTTTCTTCTGTTATTCTTCTCACTTTTGGAACTGTCTTCCGACTGCTTGCGTCTCAGGCAACTTTGATCTTCAAAAATATAAATGCAATGTCAATCGTTATCTTCTGTAATAAACCCGACTGGAATCGGAACTCGGCTCTCCGACTTCAAATTTCGAACCGTTATCAATTACACCACCCGCGCATCTAAGCTTACAGTATCTGGCATTACCAAAAGGAGAATAAAACAATAAGAATTTAGAAAACGCGGGAAAACAAAGAAATATTTGGGATAGGATCATAGAGCTGTTATTTAGTTGGATTTTGTCTCCAAGAGATGTTTATAGCTTTTACCATCAGAGTGTAGCTTCCATAAAGGTTAGACTGTAGTGATTTATTTAATATACAAACACCATATATTAACATCACGTCTGCAGTGGCTCAAAAGAATCTCCGTTTGAGGTTTTCTGGTTAATCAGATTTACAGATTACTCCAATTTTATTCAAGGCATCTCAGTTTTTAACTATGCAAGTTTCCATATCCTTTCAGAAGAATATATTTCGCTTCCTTGGTATGTAAAAGATCCGACATATTTTATTGATTCACTTGAGATAATTTGTGTTTAAAATAAACCGGTTATATAGACTGGTTACCTTCCTCTCTCTGTCTCTCATTTTGTTCTTACCCTCTTTCTTCTTTTATTCTCTCTCTTTGATTTCATTCAATCTTCTCTTTTCAATTTTCCATCTGTCAAATAGGATACCTTTTTAAGTTAACCCTTTCCCTTGTCTCTCCTCATTTTTTTTTACCTATTTTATTTTATTTTGACTTTTGCTATTTTTTTTTCTCGGATAGTACTTAACCGCAACCTGTCCGTTCCTGGCTCCTCACAGCTGGGTCGGTAATAATTCTGGCGACCTTTCTTCTGCGAAATCAAAATTCCTAAACATTAACTTCGATTCCCAAGAGCGCTGACAACTCACGTCATAGAAATGAAGATTGACATATTTGGAAAGTTAATCTTCAATAGATAGCGTCTAATCTCGTGTAAAATAGACCAGCCTTCGTGCAAGAATGACTCGTTGGACGAGTTCTCGTCGTCAAAATCAACTGTCGGTCATTTACATCTTTATACATACGTACATATATATATATATATATATATATATATATATATATATATATATATATATATATATATATATATATATTACTTTCTTTCATATCGACTTGGTAAGGAACGAGATTATGAACGTGACACAAGGTGTGAAGTCTTGTCTATTTATATCCATCGACAACCAGAGTAAGAATTATAGCGATCCATAATTAATTGTCAATATTGGAGAAATTGCGATATGACGAGAATAAAATAGATAGATAGATAGATAGATAGATAGATAGATAGATAGATAGATATGAACAGACTGAAATTGCTAGCAGTGAGATAGATAGATAGATAGATAGATAGATAGATAGATAGATAGATATGAAGAGATTGAAATAGATAACAGATGAGATAGATAGATAGATAGATAGATAGATAGATAGATAGATAGATAGATAGATAGATAGATAGATAGATAGATATGAAGAGATTGAAATAGCTAACAGCCTGAGATAGATAGATAGATAGATAGATAGATAGATAGATAGATATGAAGAGATTGAAATAGCTAACAGCCTGAGATAGATAGATAGATAGATAGATAGATAGATAGATAGATAGATAGATAGATAGATAGATATGAAGAGATTGAAATAGCTAACAGCCTGAGATCGATAGATAGATAGATAGATAGATAGATAGATAGATAGATAGATAGATAGATAGATAGACATGGACTGACTAAAATAGCTAGCACAGTGAGATAGATAGATACATATCACAGTATTTCATTTTTAATATTGCTATAATATTAAGATGCTTATTTCTTCCTGACATCTCTCTTTTTTTAGCTTTTTCTCCGTCTCACACTCTATCTCTCACCTCCTCCCTTCTTCTCCCACTCGCTCTTAACGTGTGCGTGTTTACTTGTGTGTGTGTGTGGTTGTGTGTGTGTGTGTGTGTGTGTGTGTGTGTGTGTGCGCGTGTGCGCGTGCGTGTGTGTGTGGGGTGTATGTGTGTGTGTGTGTGTATGTGTGTGTGTTCAACCGCTATCAATTCTTATAGAACAGTCAATCATCCCCAGTGTGGTTTAACAACTTAATTTTCTCAATCCACGAAGCATATGATGGATTTGTTGGACTTTCTAATCTTTGTTTTCCTCTCGTTCATTCTCTCTTTTTCTCTCTCATTCTGTCTATCTATCTATCTATCTATCTATCTATCTATCTATCTATCTATCTATCTATCTATCTATTTCAGTCTGGTCCTATCTATCTATCTATCTATCTATCTATCTATCTATCTATCTATCTATCTATCTATTTCAGTCTGGTCCTATCTATCTATCTATCTTGTATCTATAAAAAGAATACCCGCTCGGCTCGGTGGCTAGGATCAAAGTGTAGTATCTGCGCTTTGTGAGCTGCCGGGTCGGGTGTCTGTCGAACTCTCTGCTTGCAGAGGGGAACCTGGACGAGGCTCCGCCGAAGGGTGGGGATTCGTTCGGGGAGGTTGACGGAACTAGCCCGCTTGGACGGGTTTAGATGGGTTTTATTTTTGGCTGGGCCTACGGGCTCAGACATACCCACATTAAAAAGGCCTTGTGCCACATTCTGTCCCCGTGGGTGGATTGATAAATACCATCTATCTATCTATCTATCTATCTATCTATCTATACCTTGAAATTTTAATTTTTTATTGAATCTGTTATTTCATTTACTTTAATGATGTAATCCATCCTTTTAATTATTATTTTATTTTCTCCACATTTATCAATGTCATTTTTATTTTTATAATTTTTTATAATGCAAAGCCGAAGAACAGAAAAAAGTAGACGGAGAAGGAGACAAGAAAATTATGAAAAGAAGAAATAACGGTGATATTCTACACATGTACGCATACACACGCGTATAGGGGTACGCACATATACACACGAACACACACATAAACATATACACACACACACAATGAAGAAGAAGAAGTACTCACACTGATACAAATAAAAAGCGCCTAATTTATATTTTATACATTAATATAAGTATAAGGAAAATGAGAAAATCGGGAGAAGCTGATACCTTCTGACGAATGGACCGAACGATTACGAAAAGTCCGTCTACGAAACTCTGGAGTCGAAGTGTTGAGTTATTTTTTTTGATATCTGTTACTTCATTACACGTGATACATATCTAACCAATAAGAAATGACCAAACACAACTTACTATTAATCTGCATCTCTTTGCTTTTTATCATATTTGATCATTTCTATCTTGATCTCTGACGAAACTTTAATAAAGTGAATCCTGATAGATTAAGATCTGTGTCCTACTTGCTCTTTATCCTATCATTTTGTCGGATTCTTATCCATATTTTATCTCTCTCTCTCTCTCTCTCTCTCTCTCTCTCTCCCTATATATATATATATATATCCACTTTTATATTTACATACGCTCTATGCCTGGCATTTGGCATTTTCACCCATAAATATGCCATATCTTAAAACTATGAACACACACATATATATATATATATATATATATATATATATATATATATATATATATATATATATATATATACTCGACTCTCCAGTCTAATTTGACGTATGAGGTTCAAGCAGATCAGTTCCTAGGAAACCGACAGCCCGACAACAGCACATGAGATTTGATTATAGTGGTGAAGGTTTCGTGCAGGACCATCCACACTTTTTGAAGGGCCGAATGCAGAAACCTGGTGCACTACGTGCTACAAGGTCCCCAAACGACCCTTCACAGGTTTTGAATTCAGAGTTGTCCTTCTCCTAGACCAGTTGCTTATGGATCTCCCTTTCCGGCTTTTCAGCCAACATTAATCTGAAAAAAATTTAAAGGCAATGTCAATCGCTATCTGCTGGCCTCCTGATTAATCTTTTCTTTTTCTGTCAATTTTTAATGTTTTTGTTCTTGATTCTTCGCCACCATATAAACCCTTGTGTTTCAGTGGCTTTCTTGCCTTTCATGTTGTAATACTGATTAAAATGAAAAAGTAACTAGCATATATTTTCAAAGCTCTTAAGAAAATTAAATTTCGGCATTAAATGACCCATAAGGAGTTGATGTGCCGTTAAAAAAAAACAATGCAAATCAGATCTTCAGTCATCTATGGAATTCCTTCGTCTCAAATAAAAAATAAATATCACGTTTTCTTTCTATTCTTTCGCAATCATCCTTTCTCTTCGTTCGTCTCAAGTAAACAAAGGTCTTTTTTTTCTATTCCTCTCAGTCCCGACTCGTCTCTGCATCTATCAAAGTTATTTTCCTTGTATTCATACGATTGCTTCCAAATACACTACAAGGAAAACGAAGTACAAAGTTGTTTCAATTGTCTTTGGGATGTTCCAACCGCGTCTCCCCGTTCGGTTTGAGATTCTCAAATCAGACCAAAAACAACATATAATCCGCCGTGTCTATCGATTTTGTTTCAATCAAACCCATCCAGCTGAGAGCGGTTAAATGATCGATACGCTCCCGAAATCGATCCTAACCCAATCGATTGCCTCCAAAGAGAAATTTTCAAATTATTTTTTTTCTCTTTCGATTGGCTTAGATTTCCTGAAGTGAACATCAAAACAGCGAGCCGCTTCATTGATACCACAAGAGATGACCCACCAAAGCATCTGCTCGGATGCGGTATCAAGTATGCCTCACTCACAAGCCGTTTACAGTCCATTGCTTTCTTACCGTTTACTGTATTGATATGCCATTGGACCTAATTAGTACCAGTCCAGCCAAGGCTAACTAATGAGCCACTCAGATAAAACACAATTATTAATGCAAAATATACCCAACATAGAATAGTGGGTTGACTCGGAAAACATTGAGAATGAGTTCACTTTCGCCATGTTTCTCTATTAAATATAACAGGAGGATAAAATATATCGGTTATCACTGTCTACTTGAGTAAAGTTTGTGGACAAACATTGTCTCGGGGTTTCATTTGACATAACTGGTTTCAGCGGGATGTGCTTATTGGTGGAAAAGACATCGGCTCGGAGTGAGAAGTCAGAGAGCCGAGTTCGAATTCCAGTCGACATCGATACGTTCACTTAAGCGCAAAGGAAAAGGTAAGAATCCATAACTTCTTCCCCTCCCCAGCTACGGTGTAAATAGCAGTGTAGACTGAATCCTATAGCCTTGGTTGGCAACTACTCTATAGCACAAAGAAATGGCTACATACTGCGGGAAAAATCTTCTAGTCAGTCAGGAACCGTAAGCGCGTATCACGTATGCGACTTAATTAACTGGCTGAATTGGTGGATTCATTCCTTGCCCAAGGGTAATTGCTTGAAAATTAATATAACAAATCAGACTGGAATCGAAACTCGGCTCTGTGACTTCCAATTTCGAAACGTTATCCATTACACCACCTACATATCAATGCTTACAGTACCTGGTATTACCAAGGGGTCACCCATCTAGGTACTGATCATGCTCGACGTTGCTTAACTTCGATGATCCTACTTGAATGGGTTTTTCAACGTGAAATTTCTGTAAAGTTTGTTTTTAACACTCAGTTTCAGCCGATAGGTTCTCCGGCCTTTCTCATTTGCAAAATTTCTTAAACGATCTAAACTGGGGACGGAAGCGGTGAGGTTGCATGTAAAGCGAACGTCAAATGTATAATTGAATGGGAGAGCGAGTGAGAGAAGATGAAAGGCAGACACACAGACAGACAGAGGTAGAGAGTGACCAGCAGATGTAAATCAGAATGATAGACGAACGAAGATGAAAAGACAAAAGACTGAGAAACACAGACAAGGAATATCGTTGCTGCTTTTGAGTATTACAAGAAAATGAATATACAATGTGGAAGCATCTGTCTGAATTTCTGCGATGATGAATTACTGTTATTATATATTAGTCTTTGTTCTACACACAATATTTCGACCATTTGGCCTTCTTCAGTTGTCTATCGTACTTTACGACATTTTGAACTTAACACTTTATTCAATCAAAAAAATAGATTGTACTCACTTTTCCCTTCATACTTGGAGATGTCTCATCTTCTATCGTTTATTTCTTCAGAATTATTTCGGCACAAAAATATGCGCTTTCGTAAGAAATAATAATCTAATACAGTGGTTCCCGAACATTTTTCTCTGGGCTGCATTTTCGGAATGAAAATTTTCTCGCATCTCACCAAATGTGATAAAAAGTAAATATAAAATAAACAAAAAGACGATGAGTGTGTTAAATCTTACTTATTATAAAGTGCAGATTGTGTGTGTGTGTGTGTGTGTGTGTGTACGTTTATATATTGGATCGGATTTCCTACATTTTTAAACCGAGTTCAACAAAACTTCACAGTACTACGTAAAATTACCTTGCGGTAGTTCTGACAGCGCCAAAAATTGGAAAAACACAATTGTTTTTGCGCGAAATCAATTAGAAAACACGATAAAACACAATTCTGACGCCAGAATGAAAGAGGGACAACTCATATCGAGTTATACTTATTATAAAACCCAGGTTGTTTGTGTGTGTGTGTGTGTGTGTGTTTGTGTGTTCGTTTATATATGGGATCGGATTTCCTACATTTTTCAACCGATTTCAACAAAACTTCACTTTTTTTTTGGCAGGTAGTGTTTCTTATTGTCTTGCACACTTTTTTTTCTTTATTTTTACATTCAGAATGCTTTAAAAATTCCATTTACAAGACAATTGTTTATAATAAAATTCTATTCAATCGGCAGACTCATAACGATTGAAAACAATGTTTTTGTTTGAGTTTGGGTTTGACCAATTCGCAAAAAAAAAAACCTAATTAAGATATGCGTGTCCATCAACCTTAATCTTTGTCAATTTTATTTTTCAGTCTTTATGATGGTCGATACTTGATCTATCTCTTACTGTTACATCCCCGGGCAACGCCGGGCTCTACTGCTAGTATATATATATATATATATAACACAAATAAATTTTAATATGATTAAAATAGACATATTTAATGAAATGTATGAGCTTGTTTTTGACTAGCAATCCCCTTGATATAAGGCCTAATTTGAGATAAACTCTTATTTCCTCATTAACACAAAGAAGCATTCCTCTTTTTTAGTTTTTATTATTTGTTGGCACTGAAAATCCTAGTAAAGGTCCCACTGAAAAGGCGCAAGCAGCTTCCCGACAGGGTTAAAGGGAGATAACCGTGGATTCGATATCAGAAAATTAATGTTGATAACTCTCTCTTACAATTTGCGGACGCATAATCCTTCCCGTCAGTTCATCTTTGGTGTTACATGAAGTTTTCTTGGACTCTCGCTCAACTGCGCTCCACACATAATAATCAAGGGGGTTGCAATGTAGGGAGTTAAGTGACAGCCATGTCTGGGTTCTCCTTCTTGTGTGGCACGGTGCGGAGTCCTCTTGCCAGGACATATGGTTTTCCAGCAGTCACCCTCTTGAGCCATGCAAGCACTACATCCTCTAGGCACTTGATGTAAGCCACCGTGTTGTGTCAGATGTCTTCACCAACAACCTCGGGAGATCTTTTCCTCTCAGAACTCTCTGAGTGAGTTTACCGAGCTGCCGGATCTACGTAATCACCATTAGACTAATCCAACCCTTTCCAAATCCTTTGCACTGTCCTCAGACACCCAAACTCTCTGTAATTTTCGTATTGGAGACTCCGGCGGGAATGCCAAGCAGTAGAACATGCCATTTTCAAATTTCTGGTGGAGAAAATTGCATTATGATGCTCTTTTTCTTATAGACGGTGCCCAACTGTACCTATTATACTGTGCAGTCGACAAAGAAAAACAAAGAACGCGCATTTAAAAATATAAAATGATGATCATTTATCCACCGCACACTGAATATATATATATATATATATATATATATATATATATATATATATATATATATATATATATATATATATATTGTTGCACCGCCTTAACACCGGTTCTCACTATATATAGTGCCAGTAATACCTACCCGGTGTAAGCTGCGACAGTACTACAACTGCCTAACTGAGTAGTACCCGTTTCCTACCTTTGTATCTGTGATGTTAAATACACTTGTTCTTTAAACCAACTGCGACTTGATTTTCTTATTTTTACTATTGTGCCACGACAAATATATATATATATATATATATATATATATATATATATATATATAATTTTAATAATTTTAAAATATGGTCCTATCGATACACAGGAATTACTATGTTTCAAAAACAGAAACTAAAAACTTCAAATGCAATTATAGAATTAAATTAAATTAAATTAAAGTCACTAGTCCTGTTTCATTTTCAAGCTAATTTTGGAATAACTTATTTTGAAATTTATTGAGCTTATAAGAAGATGCATTCATAATATTAGTTTGGGGAAATCCAATCATTTTAACAAGGTGCGGTAGGGTATTCATTTTCATTGACAAATATTGTATCAAAATATGAGTTACTTTCGAAAAGCGGTTAAATCAAGGCAGGGTAGGGGTACTTTTTCAAACAAATGATGACATACGTTCAATGCATTACATATCTTACTCTTCTTTCTCTTTATTATATATATGCTTTTAAAATATTCGTTTTTAAAGCCCAAATTGATAAATTAATATGACACAAGGACGACAGTGTGGCTGCTTACGTCTATTCCGTGTTATTTTTTTAAACAATTTACCTCAAGCAAGGCGATAATGCCACTAAGGTGCTATTGAAAGAAAATAAGAAGACTAAAAAAGAGACCGGAAACCCAATCTTATACAGGAAACAAGGGATAAACCTCTATTCCTGTTCAAAAGATCTAGAAGAGTATGAACTATACGATAAACAAATCTATCTACTCCTTATAAAATGGCTGCGTGCTCTGAGGTTTGAATTTTTTTTTTTATCAATTCACCCAGAAGCAAAGCAATTATGCTACTAACACACAAAGGAGTACTGGGACTAATGTTTGTTTTTTGTTTTTTTTTCTCTTCGTTTCATGAAATTTCATGTCTTTTGAAATATGGAAAACTTGTCCATACAAAGCAGTGAACTTTTTCCTGTGATCTTTGCTTGGAATGAAATGATTAGCACAAATCACATTTCACTTATGAGTAATATAACAAGGTAACTGGTTCTTTGCAGATATTGTAGTTTTTAAATTTCAAGGCGAGGGTTTGGAATGGTTTAATGTGTGTTATTCTAGTCCTTATTAATTTTACCAGGCCGGAATAGTTGTCGAGAAAAGAGGAGTGACCTCGAATTGGACAGGACAGAGATTATGGTTTTGATTCCGTTTATGACGGATATGTCAGCCGAATATGTTTTGGGTTTCGGACCAATGGCTCTGAATGAAATGGTGTAAAATCAAAACAGAGGATTTGGTCTTTTAACTATAACTTCATACAATAGAAAACTGAGTTATTTTGG